TAACGAGTAACTTGAAGTAACTGAGTTACTTTTGATAGAAGTAACTAGTAATGTAACTAAGTTACTATTTTAAAGTAACTTACCCAACACTGGTTATGAGTATGCTGTGACCATAGCAGACAACTTTCCTTTCAGCATCTGATTTACTGTTTATAATTCTGCTTTTTCAAAAAGCATCTAGACTGCTGTCATGCTGTCTGTACTCTTACTTGACTGCTGTGCAAAGGTAAATAAAACTCATAAAGGTAACCTGCGTGTGTTCACCTACATTCATTTCAGATTTCCACAGCAGCCATTAGTTTATAGTGGAATACCTGTCTACCCTGGGCACAGAGGTTTTAATCTAACCTGGATACAGCTGCAAAATAAGAGCACCTCATTCATACATTGATTTGGACTGTACTTACATGTGCACACTTTTAAATGAACACTGAAAAAAGTTCACAGGAGCACAAACAAAAACAGACACAGACAAAAACACAGATTTAGACAGAATACGACTGGTTTTCACGGTTCGCTTCGATGTTTAGAGGTAGACTGAAAGCAAATTGTGTAAAACTTCACTGGGTAAAGGGTGTTTTCTTCCCCCAAGTATTAACTAAGGAATACTTAAGCATTATATTTGTGCAAGCAGTGAGTTTTAGAACGTAGCAAGAGAGGGAATGAGAGAAGCGGGAGGAGATATGATGTAAATAAAGTCTCTTTGAAGAGAGTCTCTGTAATGTGTGATCCTGTCTAACACTCTTTGAAGGCTTGCAACACCTAAGTGCCTTCAAAGACAAATCTCAGGCGACAAAAGCCTCTGCCCCACACAAGTACAGCAGGCGCTTTTCCGTGCAAACACACACATTCTTACAAAACTGCACAATATTTCAGTTGCATTTCTAGTTAACTGTATTTTCCTGAACAAGTGATTTCATATGAATAAAAACTTTTGTTTTACTGGCTTGTGATTGTGTGCCTGTGGCACCTGCTTGTCCATACACAGTAGCCAATGATGAGAGGGAGAAACTTTAACATGGAGGTGCCTGAACAGACAAGACACAGAGATAATTGACAGGAAAGAAGTTAATGTGCAATCACTTCGCATTCCACACACGGACTGGTTGCATGAACAATGTGCTTCCAAGTTCTGATTTGTATGAATAGCCGGTATCTTGATGCCTTTTCAGCCAAAGAATAATGAGTCTCTACTACTCAATTTTCTATGGGGATGCATACATCATATACGTGGGTTGGTGAGAGCTAGTCGTCAATCACCAACCAAGCATCTTATGAAAAATTACTCTCAGCTGTCAGTATACTTTGTTCACTGCCACAGGGGAGACTTATGCAAAGCCATGACAACAATGGTGAGCAATCGTGCGCTACCCTCCTGCTCCTGCTGTGACTGTGAATATACCACTGTTAGGTCAGGTGTTTTCCCATCTAAACTGTCGAGTGGGTTATTTCAATCTACAGGAGCCATCCTTCGAGTTCACCATCGTGGGTTCAGTGTCGTTTTTGAACTGCTGAGTGGGCTGTCTCAGTTGAGAGAGATCAGCTTTAAGGCAGAAATATGCACCATGCGAGTGGCCAAAAAGAAGAAGAAAACAAAAATATATGGGAAGACTAACCCCTACCATCCAAGAATATCTTGAATAGAAATGAAGCAATTTTTAATCAAGCGTTTGATATATTGTCTTATGCTAATGGGTGTATATGGGGAAATTGCTGGCATGTGATTAATCACAAGATGTGCTGATTGTCCTTGTACAAGCAGTTGTTGTTGTTGGAATTGTAGATGCGCATCTTATACAATTAAAAATTGATCCCTTTGGTGGGATCATGCCTCCTAGTCCCCCTTTTCCAGAAGATCCAAGCCATTTAAAAGCCTATATGAAAGATTTCCACTGGACAAATGACAGTTAATGTTTTATTCTCACTGGGGGCACTTGACTGCATGAACTCACTGCAGATTTTCTCCTAAGTGTACACCAAAGACTGCTCATGCTTTATATTCAAAAAGGTTCCATCAAAGTAATGCCTGAGTCACTGTGGGAAAACAGCAGAGATGAAGATATCCAACGTTTTCTGTGGTTAAAGCAGCAGCCAACCTTTTCTTTAATAGGCTATAATCTCTGTTTTATTCTCTCAACAAGTGGGAAGCCTTCTTTTTGATTATTTAAATCCTCTGAATGCTGCTGTCACTGTGTGTAAAGTTTAATAAGATAATGATTATGAGGATATCTATAGGCCATGTCTTGCTAAAAGAAATGATTCATGCTGGCACCCGACTTGTTACTTCTTAATTTTCTGAATTCTGCTTCTTGATAGCTTCAATAAATAAATAACCTTGATTAGATTTAGCGCTATGAATCCAATGAACCTAACCTAAACCTCTATTTAAAAAAATTGAACCTGAAGACAGGGTGGCATTCAAATGCTCCAGTGATCGCTGTGTATATCTGAGTGAAAGAGAATACACCCAAATGGAACAAAAAACGTCTCCATGAGAAGCCCTCATATCCACGAGTGGATATGAGGGCCCTCATATCCACGAGTGGATATGAGGGCAACTTCATTACGTGCTTCAATGAAAGCTTGTAGTTGCTTTGATAAATCCTAAGGGTTTTTTCCCTATTGACTAATAAGGGGGAAAATGAGTCCTGGTTGCTTCCTACTGGCTGAAAAATAGTTGCTGATTTACAGATTATGCAAATAAATGCATATTTCCTGCCCTAATTGTTGCCCGATAAAGCACAAAATAGCCAGTCAGCACTGTGTGGCACACTTCACTGCATAAAATATCCATCTTGGCAAGTTTTTAATCTCAGTCTCGTTCTTAAGCATTTTTTTTTTTTATTTCCATTAGAATATTAGTTTTCAGTTCACAAAAGAAGCATCTCAAGCTTGTAATAAATATGGAGAATTAGGGAGAAAACCAGTCGCATTAAAAGTTTGAATGACTCACTAAAAAATTTGTAGTTATTCATTTCATTTATAATTGGATGAATTAGAGGTCCAAGAGTACTTTTGTCCTGCATGCAGAGGCGCCTACATTCACAACAAAATAAGTTCATCAACACCATTATAGCAAGCTTTTCAGAGGGACTCCTCTGCTTATTAACCAGCCCTTTCATAGTAAGTGTGACTCAGAGTGCCGGTGAACTTTACTAGTAGAGCGTGTGAGTGTGGGAAAAGTGGGATGCCAGACTGTCAGAGTAGCTTTAACAGTGCAAGCTATCAATGAGAGCTCCAGTGGCAGCTTAATTCATCTTACACATTTACTTGAACACACTAACTTGAAGCACAGGTGAAATCTGTGCCTGTATCATTTCTGTGCCCATCTGCACCTACTGTAAGCATCCTGTCCACATGCATGGCAGCTTTTAATCAGCATCGATGTATTAACTAAGCTTTACCAAGATGTTGAATTTGAAATCAAGTTAAAAATCCAAAAGTAGGAATCAGTTTAAATTGGACAGTACCTAATGTGAGTTCAGTTTAGTCACTGATTTTTTATATTTTTTCTCAAGGTAACGCATATAAAATGCACAGTTTACTAGAGTAATTTCTTTTGTTGTTGCTCTGATGACAGTGGCACGGAAAGACTAAGTGCGCTCTGAGGTCAATGGGTTAAAGAAATGTGCAGAAGCAGCCCGAGATTAAGAAACGTGCGGGGTGAAACAAAAACAAGATTTTATATAACCAGTGTTCACCCCCGAGCAGATGTCACACTCAGCATTGCCTACGTAACCTACACCATTACGCAAACTCTCGCTAGACTACAGTAAGTTGTATCTTTTCCATATGGGTAAATGGCGAAGTATTGTTAGTTCTGTGATCACTGATCATGTGGTTTGACTTTGTGCGACCTTTGCGTCCTTTCAGACTATCGGAATTGGGGGAAAAGCTCCTACCCGCGTTCCTCAGCTTGCGGTTCCTGAACACCGAGATGATCACCAGCAGGTTCCCCAGCACGTCAACCACCGTGGTGAAGATCAAAACACTGGCCAGGATTGCAATGACCCAGGCGGGGCGGGCGGTCCCCTCTGTGGCCAGGGTGCGATCTAGCTGCCCCAGCCGTGGCTCTGTCCGGTTCTTTACAAGTGTTAATGTGTCCGGCATCACTGGCCCACAGCCCGAGCTGCTTTTGAATCGCCGCTGTAAATTTATGTCCCGCAGGTACCGTCGGTACCGGCGTGTCCTAAACGAAACATTAAGCGCACCATTTCGAGTTCCACAAGAGCCCAACGAGAGTCTGCCACTTAAAGGCGATGGGAATGAATTGCCGGGCTATTGTGCGGGAATCACGTGTGGCATATAAAGTTACACGTACTCTCGGCTCTTTCTTATGTTCGCACAAAAGTCATCCATCCACGTGCCACGGGCAGCTCAGATACGCGACGGTGCCACACCTTCTCTCTGGCAATGAATGCAAATTATTTGTCGTTCAGAAAATAGTCCTCCAGATAAGGTCCAGTCCATTCATATTTTAAATCTCCATCCTCGTCAAGTGTCCCCGGGTTGCTGGCTGGCATCTCTAAGTCTCCTCCTGCATGTGCCCACGCGGGAGAGAAGAAGGCTATTTCTTCAGATATATATATATATATATATATTTAAAAAAAAATGTCAAATCATCGCACCGCCGGCGGAAACCTCATTTAATTTGCTGTTCTGGGAACACACGCGTGAACAAATTGCCTTCCCTGACCGTTTGTGTTGTCCTTGCCATGCTCTGAACTACGACGCAACCGGCGCTGTCCGTGGCGAGGCGGCACTGTGGCAAAACATCAAATCCACAGATTGAGCACGGGGAAGACACGGCTTCACAAACAACGTTTGTGCCTTCCACTGGGCTTTATGCGCATCTCCATTTCTCACACCTCTTGCCGTCTTTGACTTTCTCTCTTCATCTCCTAACCTACTTTGCCGAGGCATGCGTGCAAACAAAGATTTTCCCTCATTTTCCCCTCTGCCTATCCCCAGCGTGACATCCCAGAATCTGTCTTTGATCTCAGCACAATGCTTGGTTGTGCTCTAAGTGTACACACAGCGGTGGGTCGGCATGGGAAGTCCAGTCAGCACACACAGACTTGTGTGAGGCATGCGTCTTACGCAAACGACAAATTTGAAAATGTAATGATTGTTTTTTCTTTGTCCGAAGTTATTCGTGTGCAAGTACAAATATGCTGTTGGCTTTTAGGGTATTAAAATTAGCATTTTCATGCAGCTGGTGTCAGGCTATATAATTGAAGCCTTTCATTTGCAAATACGGTGCACTATTGATTGAACCAACGTACTTTAGTATTGTCTCTACTGAGTGCCACTTATGGACTCTAAGCTATAATTCACTTTGTGCGCAGTGCAGTAACAGTAAATGGAGGTTGCAGGCTAAACCCATTCATCCTTAACACGGGTAACAGTGCAGTCAGTCTCTCCGTCAGATCTGGTGGATTCATATGTCATCAATACTTGTGGTGACACATTGAGGACAGTGCCATTCCACTTGTTTAACTCTTCACTACTGGGCGAATGGATGACCCTGGTGCCCTCAAGCACAGCAGCAGGAACAGATTAGAGCAGCCCAGTGTCATCCTCAAAGCAGTATGATGAGTTCCACATGAGCCTGATGTGATGACCAGGAGACAGACAGCTCTGGCAAGTGAGGTCAGGGCATGCAATCATACGCTTTGAGTATGGAAATAAACTCCATAGAAGGGACAGTGACTGAATGAATTTATAATATTACTCACACCTGGAAAAAAAATCTATAGTCTTGATGGTACAGACCACAAAACATCTAAATCTGCTAATTGAAACTGCAAATCCCCGATAAGACTGCGCTGACTGTGCTTCACAGACTATTCAATCTCAAGCTAATGTATTACAGTGCTCGTCTGCTTTGAAGGAACTTTTGATAATCTTAAGCACTTAAAAAATAATAATAAAAAAAAACTTCAAGGCATTCCTTTATCAGCACAGCACTGTGATGTGTAACCTTAAACCTCTGAGTTTTGTCATATAAGCCTTTGAGTAAAAAAAAAAAAAAACACTAAGAAAGGCTTTTAAGGTAAAAATAAAAAAAATAAATCCAGGATTATTAAAGAAGCAAGAAAGAAAAAAAAAGAAGCAAGTACCCTACAATTTATAACCCAATCTGAATCCATAAATTGTCCTATTTTGATATATACTCTTTAGAAAAAAAAGATCTTAAGCACTTACTTATGGCAGTGTAGCCTAATGTTGTGGGTATAAGAGCAGAAATGAGGATGTAGATGAATAATGTACTGAGAATCTCACCAAAGAAAGTGGGTTTTAGCATAACCCTCTTGAAGAGCCAGTAACATACAGTAGCGTCTCCATATGGCCGTGTTGTTTGTGCTGTACTCTACATGACAACATGGCTTATTAATATTGATAACGCAGTCTTTGCTAACACAAGTCACTGTTCTGCAGAGAGTTTTCTGGAAATTACCAGATGGTGCCATGAAAACAAGTGTCGGAGGTACCAGGTGTAAAGAAAAGAAAAGGCATAGAGTCTATACTTTATGTTGTTTTGAGAGTTATTGAAATAAATATAACAAGTGTAACCATAATTGGATTGTATTCATGAGTATAAACAATCTAATCTTTGAGTAACACAACTGAAAACAGGTTTGGAGGAAGCGCTGCTACATTCATTTAACAACAGAAAACCAAACCAAATGCAAAAGAAAAATGGAACATCACATTTTCATTTGCAGGATTATGATGAAATGAACATAATATATATGAAAATCAAGAGAAGAGGGATTTGTAATAAATCTCAATAATAAATCTTTTTAAAAAACGCAAACGCATAGTGAAATGCTGTATGTGTGACAAAGTTCTTGCAAAGTTTCATTGGCCCAAACAGTTCGGGTACATACAGATACTGAGCATACAAACATGTTATCGTTATATTAGGATGGGACTGAAAGCTTTTTGTTGTTTCGTTTAAACGTTTAAAGATGTGGGAACATAAAAATAGCCAAACTAGTCTTCAGTGTTTTTGAGAACAGATTTGGACATCTAAAACTTTGGACTCACACATGTGGTCCCAGAGGATGAATTTCATTGACTTTGCAAAAAAAATTTGGTTGAAATTTTCACTCATTTTTGACAATTATTAAATGCATAAATTAAATTTTAAGCTTTCACATATCACTGAATTTGGTACAGGCAGTAATGGTCATTAAAAAAGACAAATATTGACAAGTGTGGTTGGTTATTATTCTACTTGTGTCTACTGATTTGTATTTTTCAACCATAATTCATAGGAAAGATCACTCCAAAGACCTTTTTAAAAAAGAGCTATGGGCTCATAAGCTTAAAAATCCTGTATGAAATTTAGTGGAAACGGCTCCTGAGCCAAATAACACGTAAAGAGATTTTGGTACAATCTGGATTTGGAATTTATGCTGTTAGATTATCATTTTAAACCGCAGCTTGAAAACTGGAACTGAGGCAAAGGTTAAACTGGAAGAGGTTGACGTTCTTACTTCATCATTATTAATAAGATGTTAGCTTGCGTTTTGTCTTCTACACATGTTTATGTGTTTATGTTATTGTGTTTTTATTGTTCTTACATTTGAATTGTCAGATTGACTGTAAAGGTTCCTAGCAAAGGCATTTCATGCTTTCATAGTTTAACAAGGGCCTAATAAAAGTCTTAATCAATTTTAAATCATGCTTTTTATTTGTTTTTGTTTCTAATGTCTCTGTAAAGCACTTTGAATCACCTTGTTGTTGAATTGTGCTATACAAATAAACTTGCCTTGCCTTGCCTTGCCTTGCCTTAAAGTTGCAGCAAAATCAGCAAATCTTAATGCTTATTCTGCTGGCATGAAAAACAACCCCTGATGATCAAAGAACAACACAAGCCAGCCCTTTTACTTAGCTTAATCAGATCTCAGCAATCTTAAAGGTGACAGCGTACCAATTCCTTTGAGCCAGAGAAGATAACAAGCTGAGCTCTGAAGCCCATGATGCAGCCATATTTCTCAGCAGCTGTTGATCCATCATTCTGTCTCACCTCTCTTTAAGGCAGCAGTTTCTTACAAGATCAGAACAAACTGGGAAGTGTTGTAATGCAGTCCAACAGCTTAACACTGAAGGCCCCTGCATATCAGCATATTAGGGCTCGAGCCAAGATGAATGAAGGGTAAAAAAATATATCCCGGAAAATGGGATTCAGCTTTTTCTGTGGTCTTTGTATAGATTGCAGTAAGTGGCCAAGAGAGGGAAATCTTCCCCGCCAAAGAAATGTCCCAAAGTTTGAGGCAATTACTGTATTTTAATGTTGTGTAAATGTGACATAATCCGATGGTCTTTATGCACTTTCATCACATAAGGAAATCCAATAAAGGACATGAAGCGCATGGTTAACATCCCTGTCTCGCACATAGCAGTTTTGCAGGCATATGCCAGCGGATTGCCTTAGTAATAATCTCTTAAAACAGCAGGGGGAGGGTAGTGATGGGATAGAGCTGGTAAACAGCTTCCTACACGGCTTTCTGATGTGAATTCGTATCCTCGCACATGTGCATAGACATCACCTAGTCCCACTCCATTTCCCCTCTTCCCCTTGTTGCCTTGTTTTAAGCATGCAGGCATGTTCTGTCAGATCATGCTCATATTCATAACACATGAGATGAAATTGCTCCAGACACTGACTGTGTTTGTAATCACTGTGGTCACGGGTGGGTTTGCGTGCAGGTATGTGTCTGCATGCTGGTGTGCACATGTGTGTGTTAGTGCACGTGTAAGTGTGTTTGTGTCTCATCAGAGGCAGATGTTAGGCACATAGATTAGGTCTGGCCGGGTGTGTAATCCCGGTGTTACTGAGAAACAGCGTGGATTTATAATCACCCACACAGCTACCCCTCAATAAGCAAGAACTGGGGAATGGTAATCTCTCGTATTTTTCCCACTCCTCTACTCATCTCTTGCCTTTCTTACACGGTCTATCTTTCAATCCCTTTCTCCTTTATGTAACATCATTTAATCCTTCTGTCCATTTCTTCTCTTCCCTGCTGTGTCCAGAAAGATCATGAAGAAATTCATTGTTAAAAGAAAAGGAGCAGAAAGGAAAGGGAAGAAAAATACGAAATGTGGGGGTAGAAAGCGGTTTTAAGTGGCTTAGCTGACTTTGTGGTATAAATGCCAGCTGGTCCAATGAAAAGCCAGCAGAGCTAAAGGGACTGGCAGGTCCTCATCAGTGTCCCCTGATGCACGATGAATAAACACAACAGTCACTTTTTGTTTATTTTTCTATCTCTTGTTTCCCTCACACCCCCTCAAGTTTGCCTTTAGTTTGACCCCGTGCCTGTCACCAGGAGAGCCAGCGTGCTTGGAATACGCTAAACAAGTGGGATGGTCATCAAACAAGTTTGTCAGAGAGACAGTGTAAGTCATTGGAAAATGTTGCACAATCCTTTGTCACCATAATTTAATGAGCTCTAAATCTGGACGAATAAACTGCTTGCACTGTTTCGCCTCTCTTTTACCACAGCGCAGGGACATTTGTGGTGTGTGTTTACATTCCTGTTGTTTATTCTCAGTACCTCACACTGAGCGAGAGGCAGTAGTAATGTTGTGCAAGGTTATGCACAT